GAACCCAGAACAGGAGGAAACAACGAGAGTGTTCTGCTTCACAGACAGCAACGAGAGAGAGACAGGTAAACTAAGATCCTGGGATCGTGACACAGACATGGTCTTGTTTAACTGTCTTCACATTGCAAAACATGGGGCATTATATTATTATCTATAATTGACTGTGGTGTAACAGAAGTTAGTAAATTCATGACTGTAGTGGATGGTCTTTTGATCCCAAGTCAAAGACAGGAACATCGAGGTGGAGTTCCGCGTTCAAACTGTGTTTTTATTACAAAGAGAGCAAGAACAAGCAAGAAAGTATACATTCAAACAAAACAATTATGCATAAAAACGAACTTACAGAGACTTTTCTATGGAGTCATTGCTGATCTAGTAGCTTGCCAGTTACCCAGGACCTATGCCAGGAGCGCAGACTGACTGAAGTGTCCCGAGACCTCTGAATTTATAGACATACAAACAAGTTTGAAGTGGGAGTGGGTTATCTCTCAACAAAGTTCCTCTGCAGGTGCATTACCATGGCAACCATAGAGCGTCTCCCTCTTCTGCTGCACATGTTCCAGGGGCCACATACAGTTTAACACTTCTATTAGTTAGGGCTGTAAAAAATGCTGTTAGTTCATACCCCAGTTTCCTAACACACAAAGAATTTCAAATAAAGATCAAATAAAGATCTGATCAAATAAAGAATCAAATACGAGATCTCAAATCTTAAAAGTTTTACTTGCAGCAAGGAGTGCAGGGCAATGGTTACATTCAGAACTGCACTGAGGAACTCCTCAGTGCTCAAAGCTTAAATACATTTTTTTTACACGCACAAACTTCAATGGTCAGTACCTTAACCCTTTACAGTCATGTGGTGTTCTCTCGCACTAATTGGTAAAGACTGCTTCAAACAAGGATTCTCCACCAATAGGAGCTATGTGGAAATGCTGTAGTTAATCAAGTCAGATAAGACCATGCAGTTCGGATGTTTTTCTCTCTTTGTCTTTTGTTGGTCTTCCGTCGGTCGCCTTATTTGGGCAAAGAAACCAGTTCTGACCGGTTCTGTGTCCCGTCTCTATCTCCAAGTGTAACAGTCGGTACCATTCAGTGCTGTCCATATCATCCTGTTATGTAAACTATCAGCATGCACACCTGTCTTCAGCACTTTTCCTTTTAGTACAGCACAATAACAGCATTCAATAACTGTATAAATTGATATGGAAACTTAATACAATGAATATATTGTAAAAATTGAATAAATGTATTTAGAACATCTTAACATTCCCTGCTGTTTTACATATCAATTTAAACTGTGAAATAGAACAACTTCTCATTATCAGTCATGTACAACTTTAATTAGTTTTTCTGCACAGACATCATTTCGGAACTATAGCACAGTTGAACACTTCAAACAGCTGAGGTGTTCTCGTCAATCTGTGGGGCAGTGGGAATGAGAGAATAAGTTTGTTGGTACAAGGCATGCACATACATTAGTCTACTTGATACCATTTTAGCAATCATTGACTTAATTATTACACAAGTTGAAATCAAACAAAGCAAAATAAAAACAGTCAAAACAGGCATAAGTAAGTAAAAAAGGATACTCCACCAGGAACCGGAAGTGAGCCAGGAAAGCAGATTTTTGTCCCAAGTCCAATGTGAATCATCTTTTTGTGATTGGAGATGTTCCTGTAAAGCTTGCACTTCACCAATGATCTGTGTAATATTATCAGTCGAATCAGGAATAATTGTACAACAATAATCACCAACCAGGGCACATACCTCTCCCTTCTCTGCTAGAAGGAAGTCTGATGCCATACGATTTTGCATAATCATGGTTTTCATAGCACGCTTTTCAGGATCATCTTTAACAAATTCAGCAAGATGTAGCACAGAAGCAGTAAGATTCTCTAGTGACCAAAAAACGTCATTCATTCTATGTCCTAGATATGCAACACCATACATTGGAAAAAGAGTCATAAAAAATCCTTTAACATTACTAAAAAGCGGAGGCGACTTTGTTTCTGTAGTGCTACGTTTGTAACGGTGAGATAGCGGAGCCTCTCAGCTCCCACATCACTCCTGAGTGGAGGAAACAGTATTTACTGTACGAGGTAAAGTTATATATATATATATGTATTTATTTTTTTACAGTACAAAAAATGTTAGTTGGTAAGCTGTGAAATGTCTTGGTGTTTAGTTTGGCAGTAAAGTCAACATCCAGTGTTGAACATCACACCGATGATTTCAACCTCCACTACGTATGTACTGTAAAAGCAAAGCAAAAAACATGAACGTGCATGAACGTATGTAACAGACAAATGGGTCCGTGTAAGAGACAGAATCATGTCACTGCAGCTCTTGGAGATGTACATATGACAATGTGTTTTTCATAAGAAAGGACTTGTCTCAAAGGGAGTACGGACCACACATTTGTAAAACTTGTTAATCTAAGAACATTAAGAACTTCACATCACATGGTACTAACATTGAAAAAAGCCTGTTTTGTTGCATAGAAAAATTCTACAAAAGCGTGTGATGTAACACAACACCAACATGTACTGAGCAGCTTAAATGTGAGCCTGAGAAATCAGCTTTCAAACAGAGCTGGGTCCTAATCTCGTCCAATCCACATCAGGTTTATTTTTTGGGAGTTTTAAAGACACAAATAAATTTGCTGTCTCATCTTTTAACCTTCTCAACTTTGTTTAAACTCTTTCAGAAGTGAAAAAACCATTCCACCAATTAACACCAATATAAGAATTTTAAAAAACTGACTGCGTAAACTATGGTTGAAACGATCAGGGGGTCAAAAAATGACCTGTAATTTCAAAACTGTGGGTCATACAAAACTCTAAAATTCACTTTTAGTCAAGAATAAAAAAAAATACAGGTATTAACAGCTTAAATGCAGAGTGACAACTAAAAGCAACCACTTTTGCAAACTATTGTTAACTATGGTTTTGGACATTTTTCCATATTTTAAAAATTCCATCATTTGGATTAAAAAACAGAAGTGAAACATATATTTACCTGCTGTTATCTCTAAGGTTTTTATGAAGATTAATCATGATCATGATCATAGATCACAGTAAGCATATGATTAATTTGATTCAAAATCGAAATCATTTCACAGGCCTAATCTAGACATTCTTCAAGTATTTCAAGTTGCATGTCTGATCGTGATTGTTTACAATTATATATATATACATATATACATATAACTATTATAAGTAAAAGTGAACTCCACTGAAACTCCACTTACTGAAACCAGTTGGTGACAGTCATCATGACATAAAGTGATCCCAGGAAGAAGACGAAGTGGAAGTAGGAGTAGCCGTAAACTGGCTTCTCTCTCGTCGTACACCACGTTCTGGCCTGTTCCAGTGGTTTCTTCATCGCCATCATCTGCAAACAGGAATAACATTCAGCGTTGAATGAAAACAATATAAAACAAAAACATTGTTCAGAAAAAGACAGCTTTTATAAAATTTAAGATTTGTAGTTTCCATCAGATCAATATTTGACAATTTCTTCTCGCAGAACAAAATAGTGGGGAGAGAGTGGGGGAAAAGATGAACATACTGTTTATACTATGGTGTTTTATTTCCAGCAGGTGGTGGTGTAAACCTACCCACAATGGCACCTCCACACTGGGCCAGTTTTACCGTGTCACGCTAACCTCCTAGTAACAGTGACATCATCTGTGTTTGCTCGCCAATACTTTCTCACCGTCTTCTGTCAGGCTGAGGAATAGCAAAACAGCACAGCCCCGTGTCTGTGTGTGTCTATGTGTGTGTGTGTCAACAGACATGGTGGGGGCTGCTAAAGACATATTTGTGAATTATTTAACTTCACTGACCTGTGTCGTCTCCAGAACAGAAACAGCAACGAGCTCTCTGCAAGGTTGAGACAGAAATAAATAAATAAAGGTTACCATTACCATTTTTATCTGTAAAATGTCTGGGGCAAAACAGAGACACCATCCTGTCCCCAGTGTCCAGGACGGGGATCCCTGGAACACCTCCTCAGCAGCTGCCCAAAAGCCCTTGGAGAAGGGCGCTATCGCTGGTGCCACAACCAAGTGCTAAAGTGGATCTGGGCAAACAGCTGAAGATTCCAGCTAGAATTACATCTACACGGCTCCAACCAGATATGATCATTGTCTCAGATTTCACCAAGCAGCAGCCTGGGAAGAGCGCATGGAAGAGGCCAGTGAGAGGAAGCGTGCCAAGTATCAGGAGCTGGTGGACAAGTGCAGGAGCCAAGGCTGGAAGACATACTGTGAACCCCTGGAGGTGGGTTGCCGAGGATTTGCAGGGCGGTCCCTCTGCAAAGTCCTCACTATGTTGGGCCTCACAGGGGAGGCAAAGAGGAAGGCCATCAGGTCTGCAACTGAAGCCGCAGAGAAAGCCCCAAGATGGTTTTGGATCTAGAGGGCAGATCCGTGGGCAAATGCTGCTGGGACACAGGCCGGAGTCTGATCACCTCCGGTCGGGTTGCCTGGGTGAGGGTGTCTGATGATTGAAAGACCCGAAACATCCAGTGACCCCAGGTTACATCACTGATGATGTGTCCTGGTGCATCTGCAAGATGTATCTTTCAACTGTGGCCTTGTGTTTTTATATTCATCTCTTTAAAAGCATAGATTTCAAATTCAGACTGCAAGAGTCTGTAAATTTCATTAACCCACACACTAAATAACAAACTGTGGGGTTTTTTTTCATTTACCTCAGTCTCTGACTCAATGTTGCGGACCACTCTGAGAGCTGCAGAGGTTCGCCTGGTGGTGGATGTCAGGCTAAAGAGAAAGAAGGGAGCATGCAAAATAGACAAACAAAGTCAGAGAAATAAAGATGATGGTTGTTATTCCATAAGTATGCATTTTCATTCCACTAATGTAAAACTTCCTCTTTCCTCCAGGAATAACCGCAAGAGACACACAAGGCAAGGGAAACACGAGAACAAGCAAAACAAGCCATAGTTACTGTCTCTCACAGGTTCAGTTCGGCCACAGCCAATCATACTCTGCCTCCGTCGTGGTCACAGCCAATCAAAACTGCCCTGTGTCTGACACTACACTACTGTCATTAAATGCATTCCACGACGGCTACAAAATCATGGCTGTTAACTATTTGAGATTTTGGTGGGTTTATGATCTGAGATGCTATAGATTTATGTTCTGCAGAGAAGCTATGTATATGTATGTGTTTGTCTTACCATGAGTACAGGACACATCCAAAGAGGATCACTGCTCCAATAGCAGTGACAATCTTTCTGTCGCTCTCAGAACCAAGCTCAAAGAGAAACACACACACAGTGGTGTTCACACCATTGACTTCTAAAACTGGATTTAAAGTAAAGAACAAAAGAAAACAAACCACGAGTTAGTTTGCACTTAAGCCAGAGTGATTTCAAAAGTCAAACACGACCTTGGTTGTACCTGCACCTAAAACATAAAACCATCAACTTATTGTTAAACACAAGTATGAACCAAAGCTATACAGTGGTATGAAAAAGTTTGGGCACCCCTGATCATTTTCAAGATTTTCCTTTATGTATCATTGGTTGTTCGAAACAGCAATTTCAATTAAATATATCATATAGCAAACAAACACAGTGATATTTAAGAAGTGAAATGAAGTTTAAAGGATTTACAGAAAGTGTGCAATAATTACTTAAACAAAAGTAGGCAGGTGCATACATTTGGGCACTCTTGTTGTTTTATTGATTTGAATACCTTTAGCACTAATTATTGGAACA